AAAAAAAAAAAAAATCCCCAAGACATGAACATCAAACCATCCTCAGCCATTACACAACTATTCTAAAGGATTATATTTAGCCACAAAACCAAGAAACCGGTCATTTGCTGACCTCAGAACCGGTCCAAACGATAAATAAAGCAAATATTTGGCCTCTTTACTGGTTTAAAGTCCCGGCGGATGTTTATTTTTATTTGCACTGTAACTGACCCAAATAAAAATGCTCGTGGACAGAGGTTTTCCTCCGGTCTGCGCGTCCTCGAGGGGGTCGCGCGTGCACGTGAGGCTGACGCAGTAATTCCCTTTTTCCCTGGAAAGCCCCATTTACTATCGCGTTTCCTCCAATCGCTGCATGGCCTCGGCTCATTAATCTTTGACTCGACGTCTCGCTGCCGTGCCGTGCCGTGCCGCGCGCACGTGCACGCGCACGCGCCTCCGTTTCTCTCTGGCACCGCGCGCGCTCTGCTCTGCTTCACCCCACTCCGCTCCGCCCGCGCGCGCCCACGGCGGCGCATGGGACGCCTGCACGGGACTTCAGAAAGAAAATCCACCCGTTTTTTGGGTTTCCACAAACCGGGAAACATGGAGGACAAACCGGCGGAAAGCCCATCTCCTCCTCCTCTTCCTCCTCTTCCTCTTCCTCCCGCATCGGCCAAGGCGTCGTCCTTCCTCATCGAGAACCTGCTGCGCGCGGGGCGGCGCGAGACCTCCATCCGGGGACCCTTCAGCCCCTGCACGCGGGACTGGAGTGAGTACGGGACCGGAGGTTATGGGTCTTTCTGAACTACGGGGAACGCGTTCAAAAACGGGGAAACACGTAGAGTCTGCATGGCACTTTTTAGGGTGAGCCTAAAAGATATTCATACCACTACTGGATTCAAAAAGCCTGGATGTGGATGAGTCCATATTGGAAGCCTGAAATTAAACATCAAACTCGTGTTTTTTCCAGATGATTTCCGTCTTTCCAAACTCCAAAGAAGGAGCAAATGTGCACGTAAAACCCGCATTTTTCCCAGATGATTTCCGTATTTCCAAACTCCAAATGTGCGCGAGACCCATAAAGCGTGATGCGTTCATCTAATTTTTAAAGGGAACAGATAAAGGCTGAGATCCGAACTGTGAGACGCTGATGGTTGGTGAAATTAAACATCAAACTCGCATTTTTCCCGGATGATTTACTTCTTTCCAAACTCCAAATATGCGCGAGACCCGTAAAGCTTTTAGTGCATAGAGTTTGCGCTTTTAGGGTGAACCTAAAAGATACAACTATTGGACTCAACCATCCTAACCCGGTCCTGGCTTATTGGATGTGCAGAGTCCACATTGGAAGCCTGAAATTAAACATCAAACTTGCATTTTTTCCAGGCGATTTCCGTCTTTCCAAACTCCAAAGAATGAGTAAATGTGCATTCGTCTAATCTTTAAAGGGAACACGTAAAGGCTGAGATCTGAGGTGTGAGACGCTGGTGGTTGGTTCCTCCTCTTTGGTGGAACTCAGGGGACTCCGCGTCCAGATCCGTGACACGGACGGGGGATTTGCGCACAGAATCGCTGTATTACATCTAACGCGATGCTTTAAGGCGCGTTTAGAGCCCGTTTGTGTCTCTGACATGTCAAAGCAAAGTGCTCCCGGCTCCCTGGTGTGCAAACACCGCGTCTGTCCCCGGAATAGAAACCTGTGATCGAGACTAGGATGGCGTGAAAGATTTAGTTTTACTGTACAAGGAAATTAGAGCGTTCCCAAATGCATTTGTTTTTAGGCTTCGCTTGTTTTTTTTAAATTTGGCTTGAATCAGATGAAATGCAATCTACTCAAACACTTAAAAAATAATAATAATTATGAATATTTGCCAAGTAACGTTTTGATTTGAAATAAAATGACCTTTTATTTATTATAAATTGTCTTTTTTTTGTCTGCTTTGTGCGTCATATAAAGATAAATATATGCTTCTTTCCTTATAGTTTCGTTTTTGTGTTGTTTTGTTTCTCGTTTAAAGGTCCGGAGGAGAATCCCGGTCCAGAGGACCCCTCCTACAGCCTGATATCCAGCAGTGACAGAGGATCTCCGGCCGTTTCGGAGTCCATCACGGAGGTGAGCGAGGAGAACGACCGGAAAACCGGCGACGAGAACGAGGAGGACGCGCCCCCCGGTGCTTTTGACGCGTCTTCTTCCACTCCGGGATCCAACCGGAAGAAGAAAACGCGCACCGTGTTCAGCCGCAGCCAGGTGTTCCAGCTGGAGTCCACCTTCGACCTGAAGCGGTACCTGAGCAGCTCGGAGAGAGCCGGGCTGGCCGCGTCCCTCCACCTGACCGAGACCCAGGTCAAGATCTGGTTCCAGAACCGGAGGAATAAGTGGAAGAGACAGATGGCCGCGGACCTGGAGGCCGCGCACCTCCCCAACTCCACGCAGAGGATCGTGAGGGTCCCCATACTGTACCACGAAGGACCTGGTCTGGGCTTTAACTTCACCGGACACCCGGTTTCCCAGCACGTGCTGGGCCCCGTAAACTACCCCCTGTCGTCCTTTGCTCAGTCCATGAACGTGCTGAGGTCGCAGATGACCGGCCTGGTGTAGAGACTCAGACTGACCCCCTCAAAACTGTATAGTTCACTCATCATAAAGCAATACCCCCAAATATCACGGAGAACGAACGGTGTCTCCATCCAAAGATACGGGTCCAAGAATCCAGAATCCTAACCGGAAGTAAGTTAATAATCCTTATATATTTTTGTTTATAAGGCTCTGTATTAGATTGTCCACTGATTATAAACCACAGCAGAAGAGCAGGATAAGACTTTGGGGCTAAAGAGGCTGAAAGCTCTTCATGTACTGGATGATTGAAAACCCATATTTTTGCAAACTTTTATATTCAAAAGCACAGATTTCTTTCCCAACTTTGTCACTTTTTCACATAAGAATAAAAGCACTAAACTAACTGCTTTTGTTTATTTTTATGCACCTCTCAAGTGTTTTCATGTCAAGTGACTAAACCATGTTTGGAATAATATTGTGAACAATTGTTGAGAAAGAGAAGAATCCAGGCAAGAAAAAAAATAGTTCACAAAAGAAATAATTAGGCTCAAAACACACGTTGATGTTGTGTTGTGTGTGTTTTTTGTTCTATGTTCCAGTACACACAGTACACACACACATGTATGTGTGTATATGTATATGTATATATGTACATATATATTAAATATACATGCACACACACTGACAACAAACAAAAAAACTTATGCAGACAAGCAAGTATTCTAATTTTAGTTTAATTAACCAGTGGGTTAGACATATTTTCTTCCATCTGATTTTTGTGAAAGTTACATTTTCTATTGTTCAATAAATGGGAGCAAAGTTGAAATGTTCAGAATGTATTTTTCCGCTTATTCTAATTCTGTAAAAGTGCAGACTTCTTTATGTTGCTCAGAGTTTGAAAGAGAAGGAAAGCAAAACACTGAATGCAACATGATCACAGGGGGTGGGTGAAAGACCAGAATTTTTTACACCAATTTACTTTGTCAGAAGTTTCCTAACTCCACAATCAAATTCAAAATGCATTATTTAGGAATCTGCAAGAACAATCAGGAATAAAAATGCTCACAAAAGTTCAAAAGACCACATATGAAGTCAAGTTAAATCTATTTAAAAATACCATTTTTAAAATACACAAAATAAAGGTTCAACTGAGAAAAAATGTTTTGAAAAGTAACTCAAAGGTCACGACAACATGATTAAAATGAAAGTAGTGCTGAAATATACGAATCTGGTTCTATGCAATTGTAACTTAATATATCTTATACCAAAAAATACATATTTAACTTCTTTCAGTTTGTCCAATAAACCGTTAAAAAACAACAACACCCCCCCCCCCCTCCTCTGTCTTTACTTTATTATCCCGGGGCCTCCGCTGGGCTCGGACCCTCGTTCTACAAACGGGGAGGGCACAGCACTTCCGGGCACGCCCCCTTCCCCGATTGCCCCGCTGCTATTGGTCCTCTCCGAGGGTTCCCGTGAACCAATGGGCGTCGACCGAACGCTCAGCGCCAGCGCGTGTAGCGGCCAGCGCGAGCATCCCGGCAGTGTCTGCTCTCAGTGGACGTTGCTATGCAGCGGGGAGCAGCCAACCGTTAGCGGCCCAGACCCCCAACGGCAACCCGGCCCAGAGAGCACCAGGCAGCCCCGGGGAGAGGAGGATATTCGCCGGGGGAGAATATGAACAAAGAGGGACCCCCATGTCGACCAACCGCCGCCGCCTCGCTGAAGTTCACCATCGACAACATCCTCAACCTGAAAACGCGGAGCCGCGACGGCTGTCAGACCCATGAACCGGCCCCGGCGACGTGGAGGGAAAGTTTGCCCGGGGAGGAGAAGAGATCCGGGCGGGGACCGGAACCGGACGGCAGACCGGGCGAAAGAGGTAGGACGAGACAGCCGTTGGTCTTCAACGGTCCTCTGTGTCCATGTAGGGGGGCTTTAGTTTGATAGTTCGATAGTTTATTTTCACAGCCGTTGGTGAACGGTTGGTAAACGGTCTTCTGTGTTAATTTTGGGGGGGCTTTAGTTTGATAGTTCGATGGTTAATATTCACAGCCGTTGGTGAACGGTTGGTAAACGGTCTTCTGTGTTCATGGGGGTTTAGTTTGATAGTTTGATAGTTTTTAGGCCGGAAAAGGGGGGAGAGCTAACGTCTGACCCCTGAACCGGGGGTTGTTGCTACTGTTCCAGAGCTGCTCTCAAACCGGGGCCGAGAATCGGAGTCCGTGGCCGGCTGCGGGGCCCAGAGGAAGGCCGGGGAGGAGCCCTCCGAGAGCGGGGACAGTAGCGGCGACGAGAGCCGATCCTCCGCTACCGCCGCCGGGTCGGAGCCCCACGGAGGAGGCTGCGGAAGCCCGGTCAAAAAGAGCAAAGCCGTGGCGAAGAAAAAGACCCGCACCATTTTCTCCAAGAGACAGATCTTCCAGCTGGAGTCCACCTTCGACATGAAGCGGTACCTGAGCAGCGCGGAGCGGGCCTGCCTGGCCGGCTCCCTGCAGCTGACGGAGACCCAGGTCAAGATCTGGTTCCAGAACCGGAGGAATAAGCTCAAGAGGCAGATCTCCACCGAGCTGGACGGGCCCGCGGCGGACTTCCCGGAGGCCGTGAAGCCCGTGGCGGCGGTGGTGGGCCCGCTCCCGGGCCTGTACAAGGAGGGGAACCTGCTGGGGAGGTGCCTGCTCCCCATGCCGCTGCCCGTGGTTTACCCGGGCAGCAGCACGCCTTACCTCTGCTTCCCCAACGCCGCCAAGTACTTCAGCCTGTACGACGGGGACGGATGACGGCTGTAAGCCCCAAAACAGACACCTTTTCCTCCTAAAAAAGACACCTTTTACCCCCCCAAAACAGACACCTGTCCCCCCCAAAAACAGACACTCCGAGGGGGGTTCGTTGCCAAGTTTTCTCCCCCCAATCCAGCTCCCTCTCCCCGGCATCTAATGCGTCTAAAGGCGAGGTCGGTCCGGATTAAAGTTTTTATTTTTATTTTTTATTTTTTATTTTTACCAGACCGTCTGGTGGGGGGGAGAAGTAGTTTCATATCACACCAGTATAACTCGGCATTATTTATTTGCAGGCCTGACACGGTTTAGAGGAAATAGCCGTCAGGAAAACAGTATCATTTATAGCATCTTTTTGTTTACGTTGTATTAGTATTTTTTATTATTATTGACAAGGTTTCCAGCAGCCAAAGCCACCAAAGAAATTATAGCCTATTTGCATGCAATTCCTGTATCATAATGCATTTTGAATTACTGAAATTATCTATGTATTTAAATGAATGTAATAACATTTTATTTTGTGCATGTTTTTTTTTCTTCTTTTTTTTCTGAGTATCTTAATATTCTTATTTTATTCCACTTTGAGACTCGTTACACCTTTTACTGAAACTGTAATTAAAAAAGATTTGACAGGATTTCTTTCAGTATTCTGAGAAACACTGATGTATTGTGACAGCAAATCAGAAAAAGTTCCTATTTTAAAAATCCAGATAGTTTTTTTCACACAGATTTTTGCACTCAATATAACACGAATAAGCTACCAAATATGAAAAGATATAATATTTATATAACATTTGATAAACTGGTCATTAGTGACAGGAAGTTGGCAAATCTTTCTGTGACTCACTTTTCCCTCTGGTTTTGCAAATAAATATAAAAATAAAAATGAAAGCTTGAGTAAATTGACAGTTGATTTTTAAAAAACAAAAAAACAATCAAGACCATTTTTATAAGAGCTTAGTGTTTAAATAAAACAAACAAAAAAAACAACTAAACTGGAAGCAAACATTCTTTGGTATGAAAATGTGGGGAAAACCCTTGTAAACAAGGAATAAAAATATCAAACTTAATTAGCATGCCTAATTATTCATTTCCATGTAAAAACTAAGATAAACTTCTGTTACTGCCAAATTAAAAGTATCTCTCCCAATTAAAACCAGTTAAGTTCCA